TACAAAATAAATAAATTTGCCAAGTTTGATCAAAATATATTCATAAACAAGCAAACTACAACATTTGACAATATTCTCCATAAGAATAACATGGAAATTTTAAATTTATAATTTTTTTAATTTTCTCCGTTACTAATAATCGAACAAAAATACTTTTATATACTAAATTATTTGTTTTTTTAAGCTCTTTAAAAAGGTCTAAAGAGAAATTGGGAAATTTTGTGTTTTGAGGGTCAAAAGTGAGAAAAACCAATTTTTACCCCATAAAACCCCCCGTAAAGCCCCGTTCCCATGGTCCAATCGTGCTGGTTCGCGAACTCATTCAAGTTTATCCCGCTTTACACCTTTAAACCAAATTTCATCAAAATCGGACAAAGATTACTCAAGTTATCGCGTTCACGGACGTATATATATATATATATATATATAAGTCTATATATATATACATAAGTCTATATATATATACATATATACAAATTTGAACGAATAGTGTTTTTGGCCTCTGGGGACATCAAAATTAAAAAGTAAATCGGTCCCGGGTCTAGGTCTTACCGTGCCACCTACGGTAACAGCTACTTCCCTATAGGGAAATTCGCTAAAATTTGAACGAATGGTGTTTTTGGCCTCTGGGGACATCAAAATGAAAAAATAAATCGGTCCCGGGTCTAGGTCTTACCGTGCCACCTACGGTAATAGCTACTTCCCTATAGGGAAATTCGCTAAAACTACCAAAGACATTGCGTTACCATGGACATTTTATGAAACTTCAAATGTTAATGAAATAAAAAAAATAATACAAGTTTTGAAAAAAGGGGAAACAAATTTGCAAAGTGCTTTTCCTGAAAACGTACGTTTTTAAATTTTAACTCTATAACAAAAGTAACAAGTGTAAACAAACATTGTTTTTATGAAAACATCTGAATTAAATTAAAGAACAGTATTTCAGCATACATCACAAACACTTTGATACATAAAACACTTAATACAAGTTCCTTGTACACAATTCCTTGTTTTATGTTGTGGCTGGAGCATTACATAGAGTATTTGAAGCTCACTCTGGGGCAGGCAACGTACAGTAGGTCACGCCCACGCCTGAAGCAGTCTTCCCTGAGATCAACACTGGCTGTCCTTGAGATTTATTTCTTGTCATTGCAAAGCAGAATTTGAAAGGGATCTTTAGTCTTCTTCTTCTATATTGAAAGTGGTAATCCGATAGTACAGGGTGTTTACTAAAGAATGCCGGGATTTTAAACGGTCGTTGCTTGGCTTGGGGACTATTAAAGTTAATTAAACGATTTAAGCGTCAAATTGAAGGGAAAAGAACAATGTTTTTTCTCATACTTTGATACAATTTGGAAACATTTAATAACATTCAGATTTTCATCAATCTTATATGAGCATAAAAACTGGCAAAGTCTATGTTGGTACGCTTAGGGCGATCGGCGGGCTTATCTGATGTCTAGACTGAATCTTTTTAGGCTCAAAAACTCTTATCTTTTACAGATAACATCATTAAGTGTCGATTTAGGTATGTTCAACTGACTTTCTTTGTTTTTCTTGATTTTTTCGGGTTTCTGATGCCGAATTGTCGGATTACTTTGACTATGACATAGCTTGATTTTAGGCTGCTAGGTGAATGTCTTTTCAAAAAATTGCGGTACCACGAAGCTCATAAACTAGTATCAAATTTCTTTATCATCAAGTAGATTTAAATTTAGTTTAATTTAGCAATCGATATAAACTATACGAACCACAGATTACACTCGTGCTTTATGTTGTGCCGTAAATATATCGTATTGGCTAGTGGCGTCAGGCATGTGAGTCACAATAGCGGCCTAACACCGCCATTGACTATACACAGAATAGACCTCCCATGTAATGTAAAAATTTGAAGCAAAGAAAATAGACAAAGTTTAGGACCATCTCACCAGAGGGTACTAGTGTATTGGGTTAAATATTAATAAATACCCCTGCCGCAGCAAATCTACTGACTAAGAAAATTTCCATCCGCCTGAATTGATTTTAAATTAAATTTAAATAGAAGATTTAATTGAAAATCATTCAGAGAAGTAGAATTTCGCTTAATCGGCAGGTTTGCTGCAGCATTTTTTTCTTGTGACATGCTGAATAAGGTGTCAAAGTGTGTTCATATGGAATTGACACCCTGTATATAACTCCATATATATATATATAAGTCCCTAAAAAGCTCAAAATGTAAAACAACTTATTGTAATATCTAAACAAACTATGAATTACATTTTTTATTTGTCAAGATGTATATCTTTGTACACCATATCTTTGTATAAAAAATTATCTGGTTGTTGTTATCTATATATATGAAATCCAGTGTTTGACTGACGTTATGTTTGTCCTTTATGCGTTACTAAATGGCCATCCGATCGTGATGAAATTTTAAAGAAGTAAATAAGTACTATACAAAATTAACAGTTTTATTAGCCACATTGAGTAATATTTTATGGTTTTGGGGTTCCATTTCCCAGCAGTTGTGGAAGCCAATTACGAAATACCTTTCCATCTGAATTGACAGTTGACACAAAAATTTTTGGTTTGGTTTTTAAAAAGTCTCAATCATAGATAGCGTTATCCCTGGTTTAAGTATAGTATGCGGTACATTGCAGGGTTAACTGGCTAAGAAGCACCAACTGTGTGTATTGTATACTGGCCTGTAGATATAGCATGAACACCTATATTAAAGTAAACAAAATCTGCTGTAAATGGCTTCTTATGCTATTGTTATGGGAAACATTTTATGTTACATCTAAATTTTTGTAAACATTTTGGGAATTTCACTATTTTTCCCGCCGTCACGGGATAGAAACCTTTAATTTGAGCCCTCTCCTGTCGTTCTACGACATCCCAGTTGCCCACAATTTTTACGCAAAGAATCGCCTTACGCCTACGTAATTTATATATATATATATAGATATATACATATATAAAAAGAACAAATGGTGTTTTTGGACTCTAGGGACATCAAAATGAAAAAGTAAATCTGTCCTGGACCTAGGTCTAGAGGTCTTATCGTGCCACCTACGGTAGTAGCTACTATAGGGAAATTCGCTTAAATCAATGCAGTATCATAGCAAACAGGTATAGATTATCACTTGACACAGAATATTGTCATTAGTTGGTAGACCATCTGAGTAGATTCCACATTTTTATATTACTTGGGAAGTCTATTCTGTGTATAGTGAATGCCACCCCGCACCTGTTTTGGACATGCCAAGGTCAAATTTTCCTCCCTTGCAACACGGCAAATAAAACTTAGTTACTGTATTTTAGCTTCAATTTGACGTATAAAGCGTTTAGTTACCTTGAATATAGTACCCACCCAAGTAGCAAAAATCGTTGGCAAATGGTTGGCCCTACCTTTCTGTCGATGGTTGGCCCTCGGTATGTTTTAGCACTAAGTCTTACGGTTGGCCAACCAAACAATTTTCAACGAAGGGCCAACCATCCCATTGGGCCTAAACATAAAAAAACACAAAATAAATAAAGATTTAGAATGAAAAGCATAATTTTATCAGTTGAGTAAATTGATTAAATAGTTCATAAAAACTGATTAAAAAAAAAAACTAGAAAAAACTGTTTGGCCCAGACGGGTCTTGAACTCAGTACGTTCGCCTTATGAGCCTCATACTCTGTACCTCTTACTACGTTTGAGCTATCTGTGATTGATGATTATTAGAGTTTTCAAGTGGTCAAAGAGTAGCCGACAGTTGCAATGGTCACAATACTTAAAATATTTTTGGTAGGTACTACAGTATGATGCTGTTAATCTGTGTAGGCCTCAAGTAGTTGAATTGTTTTTCTGGTAGTTGTAGACGATACTGGTATTTGAATATAGATTATTTAATTACCACTGTATCTAGTATCACAACATCATCTGACTACATTTATTATAGATCCAATTTTCTCCAATATTGTCTTATATTCTGCTGCCATATAACATTTATGTTCTTTTAAATGTATCAATTCGTTAAAATGTTTTTTAGAATGTTTTATATTTAAACCCAACGAAGAGGCCCAACGATTCTTTCCTTTGTAGGGCAAACGAATACAAGTTTCCGTTGGGCCAACTTTGGCAAATCGTTAAAATTACTGCCAACCATTTCCCAACCGTGCCGACCATTTCCCAAAGTTGGGCCAACGATGTGTGCTACTTGGTCAAGCCATTACAATTTAAAATCCTGTCATTCTTTTGTGATCACCCTTGATTGATTCCCTATTGATGGAATTAAGACTTATTACCCCGAACACATCCAGTGATGAACATTGCCTCCATGATGTTCTTTTGTAAAGACGAAGGAAGTATTTCAGTGGAAATCTGATCAGGCAAATGGAAATTCGCTTGGTCAGCAGGTTTTCTGTGGCAGCGGCAGGGTATTTATATTTCAAAATATTTAAGAAATATAATAGTTTTGAAATTACTGAGGTCTGTTAAGATACTCTTTTTTCCCCTTGCACATGAAACTTGAGTGTGCAGCGGAATATTATACCACTTTCGGTAATAGCATAGATAAAACATACTCCCTTAGTAGATTTCTCATCCTTATGGAACAGCTGAAGACAATTTTATTGTTAGTTCTGTACGGTTTATGTAGAGGTCGTGTTTTGTTTACAATTTGTTTCCCGTTATTACAGCCATTTAAAACCTCGTTTAACCAAATAATACTATCTAATCATAAACAATAACCTGTCCCCTAGTTATATAACCAAACAGTAAAGCACAAATCAAGAAATTAACCCTAAAATAATAGAAACAAAGTTTCGTGGACACTAGCGCCCATGTGTCACGTACATGAACTCGACACGAAAAACGTGCTTCAAAATTTACAATGGGATGAGAAGTCTACTTGTGCTGGTTAGTCTATGGTAATAGTAATGTAATTAAATAAATTAAATACACTATTACCTTTGATAAACATGATTTTTCCTCCTAAATACTGTTTGCAAAACATAAGCTTTTATTTTTTCAGGTCTATCTCTTATGTATTTGTCACATCCAGCCTTGCTTTCATCTTCTTCGCAGGATGTTATCTACTTGTAGACCATTTTGTTTTTTGGAATGGCTCCCCTTTCATATTCCCAGGTAAGCAATCATAGTACTTGTATTGTCTAAATACCCTTAATATTCAGAGAAATATAGGATATGACCTTAAAAAAATTGCAAGAAAACATTTTATGGTTTTATTTTGTAATGTTGGGAGTGCAGAGTGACATAAAAGTAGATGCGAAAAATTGGTCCATGGGAAACCCCCTAAAATCACTATTAAAAATGGTGGTTTTTCCCAACATTAGACACATTTTGGAAAAAAATATACTGCATGCATTCTTTATACACATTTTTCGGGAAATTAGTTGACTAAGGAACGCCACCGATTATTCTATATACAGTGGTTAGTACAGTACTTCATTTCGATAGAGAACGCGTTTTTGGCTGCAATCTTGGATCCGCCATATTTGGTATAAATAATTTTTTTTATATAATGATTGTGTTGTGACACATCATTATAAACAAGATTTTCACGCTGATATCAATGCTGAAATCCGTTTTTAAATATCCTTTTTAGTTTTAAAGATATATTCAAACAAAAAATCTCCTCCGTACATTTCTTATGGACGTTTCGTACTTTAATATTTTTTTAAGATTATTTTTCTTATACCTCCAGTTCTTATTAAAGCTTGCAGTTCGTTCTAGTCTTAAAATATTCAGTGATGTAAGGGCTTTCATTCAAGCTAACAATTGATCATTAAAATAGGACGAGTTAGAGACCAGCGACAAACCCCAACACAATATTAAATTTAACTTTTTAGAAATCAGTTTTTATTAAAAGACTAGAAGAGTACCCGTCCTTCGTACGGGGTTGGAATATAAGTATAAAATGCTTATTGCAGTTTTACTCAAGCTTTGCGTTTGCAATAAGAGAGGATAGAGTTTGATAAAATTTGCTTTTTTAAATTTACAGTATTCTATAGTATTACACATCTACCATAGCCATAATGTTCTACCTTTTCACCTAAACAATAGAGAAAAATAAATTATCAACAATTCGCAAAATATCACAAATTATTCATGAAATGAAAAACATAAACATAACTGTAAACAATCCTACTTTGACAGTTCTCATTGGGAATCACAGTTTTTTGTTGCTGCTTAGTTCAAATTAGCTGTTTTCAAAAATGCAAAAAAAATATAGTGCTGCACCCTGTTGGTAAATCTTATAACTTTTTAATGCTTTTCCATATCATAGAACCAACTTTTTTGGTTGAAACATCTGACTAAATTCTTTAATTCCCTTTAAATATGAATTCTCATAAGGTTAATATGGGGAATTACAGAGCCACTGGGGCGGAGCCCGAAAGGATTTTTGAGATAAGAATATGCCTATATGTTAATTGGGAATGTAAGCTATCGCCATGCCAAATTTCGGCCCAATCCCTCCGGGGGTTTATGCGTGATTGAACTTCAAACACACAAACAAACAAACAAACAAACACACAAACTTTCACATTTACTAGGTGGCGTTCGCAGAGGCATCCACAAAATTGAGCGGAGTCATCAAGGGTTCATATTATATTGTTTTGTCATACTGCATTGAAAACAGTCGTTTTTAATGCATGCGTTGCTGGTCTAAAGTGGCATTTTTTCTCTTTAGGGAGTAAAAATCGTTTTTAGCCTCTATAGAGTAAACATCGTTTTTAGCCTCTATGGAGTAAAAATCAGCTGTTGTCAACTCAGTTGTAAATTTCTATTTTAAACGGTTGCATGTATCGAAATATGTATCGATTCGTGCTTCGTAATCATTTTAACCTACAGTCTACAGTCTCTTCCCATAGTATTTTAGCATTGCAGATACATTAATCCATTCCCACACTCAACACTGCTCACCTTTACTACTTTCTTCACCACCCCCTACGTCGTGGACCTTGTTTCCCTCTCTTCCCATAGCATTTTAGGATTGCAGATACATTAATGTAATTGCCAAAGACAGTTCCCACACTCTTGACTGCAAGCCTTACTACTTCCTTCACCATTGCCTACGTCATAGACCTGTTTCCTTCCCTTCTCATAGCATTTTAGGATTGCAGATACATTAATGTAATTGCCAAAGACAGTTCCCACACTCTGCACTGCAAGCCTTACTACTTCCTTCACCATTGCCTACGTCATAGACCTGTTTCATTCCCTTCTCATAGCATTTAAGTATTAGGTATATTTATCTAACTGCCTAAACGGATCCCCACTCTGTTCTGCCAGCTTTTACTACTACCTTCAGCAACAGCCAACTGTGCTTCGCTACTTCATACGTCGTGGGGGCTGTTTCCTTCCCTTCTCATAGCATTTTAGGATTGAAGATACATTAATATAACTGCTACAGACGGTTCTCACACTATGCTCATACTTTACTACTTCCTAAGCCACTTCCTACATCGTGGACCTGTTTTCATCACTTTCCGTAGCATTTTAGTATTTTAGATACGTTAATCAAATTGCCACAAACATTGCCAACACTCCGCACTGCTAGCCTTTACTACTTCTTTCACCATTTTCTATATCGTGGGCATGCTTCCACCCCTTCTCATAGCATTTCAGCATTGCAGATACATTAATCTAACTGCTACAAATGGTTTCCAGTTAGATCCACACTGCTCACCTTACTACTTCCTTCACCTCTTCTTACGTCGCGGACCTGTTTCCCTCTCTTTCCATAGAATTTTAAGATTGTAGATACCTTAATCTAATCGTCAAAAACAGTTCCCACACTCCGGGCAGCGCTCGCCTTGACTACTTCCTTCACCACTTCCTACGTCTCGGACCTGTTTCCCTTCCTTCCCTTAGCATTATTGGATTGCAGGAACATTAATCTAATCGTCATAAACAGTTCCCACACTCCGAACAACTCGCCTTCACTACTTCCTTCACCACTTCCTACGTCACGGACCTGCTTCCCTCCCTTTCCATAGCATTTTAGGATTGCAGATACCTCAATCTAATCGTCATAAACAGTTCCCACACACACACATCTCGCCTTAACTATTTCCTTCACCGATTCCTACGTCACGGACTTGTTTCCCTCCCTTTCCATAGCATTTTAGGATTGCAGATACATTGATCTAATCGTCATAAACAGTTTCCACACTCCGGACAGCTCGCCTTGACTTCTTCCGTCACCAATTCCTATGTTAAGGACCTGTTTTCCTCCCTTCCCATAAAATTTTTGGAATGCAGATACCTTAATATAATCGTCATAAACAGTACCCACACTCCGGACAGCTGGCCATGACTACTTCCTTCACCACTTCCTACGTCGCGGACCTGTTTTCCTCCCTTCCCATAGAATTTGAGGAATGTGGATACCTAAATCTAATCGTCATAAACAGTTTCCACATTCTGGGCAGCTCGCCTTCACCACTTCCTACATCACAGACCTGTTTCTCTCTCTTTCCATAGCATTTTAGGATTGCAGATACATTAATCTAATCGTCATAAACAGTTCCCACACTCCGGACAGCTCGCCTTGACTACTTTATTCACCACTTCCTACGTCGCGGACCCGTTTTCCTCCCTTCCCATAGAATTTTAGGAATGTGGATACCTAAATCTAATCGTCATAAATAGTTTCCACACTCATGACAGCTCGCCTTCACTACTTCCTTCACCACTTCCTACGTCGCGGACCTGTTTTCCTCCCTTCCCATAGAATTTGAGGAATGTGGATACCTAAATCTAATCGTCATAAACAGTTTCCACATTCTGGGCAGCTCGCCTTCACCACTTCCTTCACCACTTCCTACATCACGGACCTGTTTCTCTCTCTTTCCATAGCATTTTAGGATTGCAGATACATTAATCTAATCGTCATAAACAGTTCCCACACTCCGGACAGCTCGCCTTGACTACTTTCTTCACCACTTCCTACGTCGCGGACCCGTTTTCCTCCCTTCCCATAGAATTTTAGGAATGTGAATACCTAAATCTAATCGTCATAAATAGTTTTCACACTCATGACAGCTCGCCTTCACTACTTCCTTCACCACTTCCTACGTCGCGGACCCGTTTTCCTCCCTTCCCATATCATTATATGGATATTTTACCAAAGTGTGTTTTTTGGTAAAATATTAACAGCCTAGTATAAAATAAATAAATTTGCCAAGTTTGATCAAAATATATCCATAAACAAGAAAACTACAACATTTTACAAGAATTACATGGGAATTCTAAATTAAAATTTTTTTGAATTTTCTCCATAAACCAATAAACGTACAAAAACGCTTTGATATAGTTACTAAATTATTTTTTTTTTTTTTACTCTTTAAAAAGTTCTAGAGAGAAATTGGGAAATTTTGTGTTTTGAGGGTCAAAAATGAGAAAAACCATTTTTTACTCCATAAAACCCCGTTCCCATGGTCCGATCATGCTGGTTCGCGAACCCATACAAGTTTATCCCGCCTTATACATCTAAACAAAATTTCATAAAATCGGACAAAAATTACTCAAGTTATCGTGTTTACGGACGTATAAATATAAATCTATACATATACTGTATATATATATATAACAAAAATTTGAACGAATGGTGTTTTTGGCCTCTGGGGACATCAAAATGAAAAAGTTAATCGATCGCGGGCCTAGGTCTTACCGTGCTACCTACGGTAATAGCTACTTCCCTATAGTGAAATTCGCTAATAGCTTGTATCCGCGGCTTTGCCTGCGATGGTATAACCATCATACAGCATAAGAAATAAACATATTACAATCTACATCAAAACAAATGACACAACTGGATACTTAAAAGTTTCTAATTCTTGTTTAATTAATATTTTTATTGAGGTCTACACCTTTAGTTCTGTTACGGTTTTGCAAATAATTATCTGTAGTGGCTATGCCAATGAAAAAAAAAAGTTATTATCAACTTTCTCATCGGTTTTAGGTGGTTTATAAACAACTAACATGCAAATAAACATATTATCTATCCTCTTGAAATTTCAAAATTTCACATGAATGAAATTTCAAATAACACATGCTCAAATCTTGCCTTTTGTACATATGGCAACTTTTTTTAATGGTGTGTTCTTTTTTTATGAAAG